TTAATGATCACCCACCTAGTACCAGATCATATCCCACATCTTGGAGAGATAGAAATCTGAATTAAGGTAAACACACCCATCCTTTTAGTATCAAAATTCTGACTAGCAGACACATAGTAAAGATGCCAGAAGATTCTTGGAGGAAGAATCAAGTGCTGCCAAAAATTAAAAAATCACTTTGAGAAAACACTGAGAAACACAAGGTGAAAAGACATTAAAAATGGTCGTTCACAAACTGCAGGCCCAAAGGCTGCGTGTTATCCTCTCTCATCCGCTCATCACCAGAACCATTTGGAGCAGATCACTTTACCTCATTCCCTCACCTATGAAATAATAGTAAAAACAAGCTCTGGCCAAATACTATCCGAATGCTGAAAAAAAGAAAATGTAAGTTTAAATAGAATATTGGCTTTGTACTGATAAAACTATGATCGTTAGGGGATGGGTACCTTCAGTGAGGAAACAAAAGAAACTGGAATAAGCGTGGGCATTTCAGAGTTTGCTGAGCATTTTTCCTAAGTTTTAAGATAATTCACAACACTCCAAGTGCACCCCCCAATATACATCGTGTCCCTAAAGTGGGAAGAACGATTACTCTCTCGTATGCAAGTTAATTAAGTTAATGGTGTGGGTATGCCATCCTCTCAGGGACCGAAGGCGGTGGCGGGAAGATGCTCGTCAGGGACTCAGAATAATAAACAACAAAGGGCTTCCCTGTTTTAAGTTCACTTCTCTCTTGACCACCAAGAAAAGTGGGGCACTGAAGACATATGACAGCCCATGCCACCCCAGAGTTGAAGACACCTGTGGGAGAGACCCAGATGCCCACCTCCACCACCTCTCTCCTGTGTGTGTCCAGCAACCAGAGTCCATGGTCATCTTCCCCAGAGATGATTCTTAAGAGTCAGGTCATTGTCTGTTCTTCCCTCTGCCATCCCAAGACTCCAACTCTGAGTGCTCCCCAATGATCCTGTCCTAACAGGGTTTTTCCCATGTCCTTCATTACCAAAATCATGGATAATACATTTTAAGCGCGGGCAATTTCAAAACCACTGATAATGAATATATACCATCATGGTTCTTAAATCATAACATAATCCTGCAACTGTCTACAAGTTCACATTTGTGACCTAACATGGTCCTACACTGCCGTTATTAGTGCCAGTACCCCCTGTCTGCTCCTGTATGGACATCCAATTACAGGAACCAAACCATGTCCTTTTATGCTCAATACATGTTGTCATTGGCAGCAGCTACCACTCTTTGCATGGTCCCTGGGACAGGCCATTTGGTCCTGACAAGGGCAGTAATGGAGGTGCTGCTGCTTTGAAAATAAAGACACCAAGTAAGGTCAAATGGCTTCTCCTAGGCAATCCAGATAATGCATACAAATTCTGTGCTAGAACCCAGGTTCAGGGGTCTCAAAACCACCATTACTCTGCTTTCCAGTGACAGGCTCAACTGTCAGCTTAACTGTCACAATGGCTCCTTCTTTTCAAAGCAGGAAGGACTTTACATGAAAAGAAGCACAGAGAAGTTTGTGAGATGGAGTGGGCCTTCATGGATCTGAATTCCAAGTTCACCCAGCCAATCCTGGGCCCATGAGCAAATCTCTTTCATAGTAATTTGGTTGGTTTGGGAACTATGCCTTCTTTGATGATTACAGACATGTTGATTGGCTTATAAGCAAAACCACCTTCAAAACTGTCTAGGAAGAAACCATGAACGGAAAAGACCCGGGAATCAAGGAGTGAGAAACTTGGGTCATCGAGCAATGCACTCTGCAATAAACACAGACTGTTCTCGTTAGCCATGCAGTGAACGCAAACGCCTTCTGTTACCACTGGGAAGAATTCCACTTCACCTTCACAAGCAATGCGCTCTGTCAAGGATGCCCTAGGGCCAGTGCTGGTGATCTGGGGCTGACACATTTGCATGCGTGGTTACAACCCCTTGCACACATCCACACCGAAGAACTTTTGAAAACAAGATATGAAGGTCCTGAGGAACGTGTATCTGTGCGTCAGGGGGTAGAGATATACTATGTCTCCATATTTCAGCATTTTCTCACGGGAGGAAAGGTTTCTGTGAAGACAGAACACTGGCTGTCCTGTTCCTGCTGGTGGCTCTGCGCTCCTCACTCTGCTATTCTGCTCTTGTCTCTGTATGAAACTATATTATGCTTTCATCCTGTTAATTCCTTTATCGTTTGTCATTTGTCTCCTGAACTAGTTTCACCAGAGGGAAACACTGCTGTAACTGGCACACAGTGGGTGCTTCTTGACCTGTTGGCGAATGAAGGCGCTAAACCACTCAGTCCCGGAGGCTGATTGCACATGCCATCTGGATGAAGTCTTGACACATTTTATGCCCTCAATGAACAGAGTCTCCTTCCTGCAATCTCCCTCTTATTAGGATTATGTCAACTATGCGCTGTTTATCTGGGTAGGAAGCTTTAAGAAGATGCAAATGGTACTCAGTGCTGGCAAGACGGTTCAGCCGATAAAGGTGCTTGCTGTCAAGCCTGACAACTTCCATAGCAAGGACTCACACACTGAGAGGAGAGAACTGCCTCTCCAAAATGTCATCTGACCTCTACACACGTTGCTGCATACACTGCATCTCCCCACACACAAGTAAATTAATGCAATAAAAAGTTTTAAGAACACATAAATGTGCCGCATGGTGGAGCTAGAAGACACCGTAAGTTCCAGCAGCCCATCTCAATTTTATAGACACCAAACAACCTCCTCACGCCCACCAAATGGCTCCATTATGCATAGCTTTGTAGACGCTAGTCTCCAAAGAGGACAACCCTGGTGTCTTGACTGTGTTTGTGGAAGATTTCCTACAAGCAAGTGACACCAGGCACGACATCTGCCTTGCCGTCTGTCCTTCCTGCACTTCAAGACCCAGGCTGCTGAACAAACAGCTTTGGCCAAATTCACACTGACAGTTTCAAATGCTCTAGAAACTGTAATAAAGTATGCATAGGCATTGTTTAATTTTCACCTTGACCCTAGAATCTGAGGGGTTTTATTCCTATTTTCGAAGGAAGATGCACTGCCTCTTATGCTGAGGTTGAACCAGGACATGTTTGGATCCTCTTCTAGGGTCCCTGTTATGGGTAGAGACAGACTGTGGATTCACAATCACCTAAGGGTCTTATAAATATAGCTGTGAGACGCTCCCCCTAGATTCCCACCCCCACATCACTGGCTTAAGCTCCCCAGATGGCCAAGTGGCTGTACCAGGAACACAGGAGCCTAGAACAGAGCAGAGCCAGGATCTATGGACCGGCCTGCCTGTCCTTCATACCAACCATCTTCAGCACTAAGTCTCTGACCCCAGGCATCCCTCAGCTCTCAGTCCTGACAGAAGATGAGCCCACAAAGTGTCCCCCCTGGTCCAGGGCATGGTGACAGCTACAGAATGGTTCTGACTTTGACATCCACTCTCTCCTAGGGTCCTGAGGAGAGACAGTTCCCAAGGATTGCACGCAGCAGCTACCTGTGAGTCCATTTCCTCCAAGGTCTGAATCTCAGTGTTCAGACCATGATTCCTGGCCTGGGTCAAGTATATAAATCACGGTAAAGACTATTTTCTGCAAGAGCTCCTGGAGAGGACAGCCAGCACCAGAGGGGACAGGCTCCTTCCACCTCCAGCAGGATTCCGAAGGCATACTCAGACTCAGGGCTAACTCCTATTCATTTTCCTCTCGGCTTATTTTCTCCTTCGTCACATCTGAGTGAGTCCCCAAATTCGCTTCATGCTACATGATCCCCTGAAAGTTAAAGAAGGGGGGCTTCTTACTTTCTTCTCATTTCCATTTCCAGAAGATAAAGCAGATAATGCAGGAAACCTATCCCTGGGAGGTCTCTTGTAGACCAGCCTGGACTACATAGAGCTAGTTTCAGGACAAACAGGCTCCAAAGCTACAGAGAAACCCTGTCTCGAAAAAAAAAACAAAAAACAAACAAACAAACAAAAACCGAGTTATCTAAAGACACACAGATGTGGGAGCTGCTCTGGCAGTCAGATCCCCAATCTCTCTGCATCCTTAAAGGACAGATGTCCCTCCACTCATTAAAGATGGTCTTGTCAGTTGACTCCCTGGGGCATTTTCATCATCTTTACATAAATTCCTATTGCTTAGTGACCTCAGGAAATACAAGTGTTCCCCAGACTGTTTTCACATCTGCGAATCAAGTCTCTCCCAGCTCCGGAGGCTCACCAGGCTCACCTGTCCAAAGTCTGAGAACTTTCTGCTCAGGACTGGGCGATCCAGGATCACAGCCGACATGCTGGCTCCCAATAATCGGGGTCTCTAGCTCTCCGCAGCAGGGTCTGAAAGGTTTGCTCTCGGGACACGAGGCTAATGGTTTTAACTTGGCTCTCAGAAGGACGGGAGAGGGGTGGCTTCAAAGGGTGTCCCCTACTGCAGTCTGTAAGGTCGCTCTGTCAGTGGGCGTTGCCCTGACGTAGCAGTGTGTGGACCCTAGTCCAGAGCCCACGTGCAGGGTCACAGGTCCTGGGCTGCCCCCAGGGGAGGGGTATTGGAGGGTGTGGCAGCCACCGCAGGACTCATTTGGCAGACTGTCCTGGACAAGAGTAGACGGCAGAGAGCCTTGACCACCTGTATCCCAGAGCTCAGACAGGTGTGGCATTGTTGAAATTTAGGGGTGCCTGGAGTAAGGATTCTCTGCACTGGAGGGAACCAGGGACAATCTGCTGATAATGCTTAAGGATAATCCTTCCCTGGCTGCAGAGAAATAGAGCCAGGCTCCTAATTTAAATGTTCTCCACCCTCAACTCCCTTTCATTAGCCACCAAACAGGTCAATCTCCTTGGCATTCTTTCCTTTAGAAAACCACAGTGGATGACATTTGTAGCTAAAGAGTAAAGGCGGGAGTGCTGGGGCTGGAATCCAGCCAGTTTTAGCTGCTTACACGAGGGCTGGGGACTCTGCACAGAGGACAGACAGCTGCCTTAGGGCTGCCTTGCTAAGAGATTTCAAGTGCATCGATCATAAGAATTAGACGATGCATCAAACGTTCAATTAGTACAGTTCTTGCCACATAATCGAACACGGGAGAAGTGGAAGATAATGTTTAAAAGTCCGTCTTAAAAGTGTGTTCCTGGTGGTGTCCTAAGTGCTGAGACTACAGAGGGGCACGTGACCTTCCTGCCGGCACTGCACCCCTCTAGCGGTCAGGTGATCTCCCTGCCAGCAGCGCACCCCTCTAGCGGTCAGGCAAAATAAAACTACTTTAGGCAGGGCCAAGCCACAGGAGAGAGGAAAATACTTGATCTAGGTAGGAGTGAACGGATGGGTACCGGGGCGTGGTCTTCAAGTGGACATAAAGATGTCATGAACGGAGGTAAGATAATCATTGCTAGCAGGAAAAACAAAACGTAAACGCACGGGAGGGTCAGTTTTAGAAAGATGTGAGAAGCCGGGGGCATCAAGGACTCAAAGCCTGCTTAATATTTACCCAAGCAAAGTTAATGGACTGAGAGAAAACGGGCCAATAATAGAAGGTGCTAGAAGTCCACCCCATCCCCTCCCACAATTCTTTGACCTAATAGCCAGGAATCTGCAAAGAAAGAAAAACAACATTTCAAATTTGAGATTCAAAATTCAAAACACGGGGGTTAATTCCTCATCGGACAGACGGCTGCCCCCTCACAGACGGCTGTCCCTCCGTAGACGGCTGCCCCCCCCCCGCAGATGGCTGCCCCCACAGACGGCTGCCTCCACCTGTACCTCACTTTGTCTTTAAAATGTGGGTCTAGGGCTGTTTAGGATTCTTTTAATCTCCATAGTGCAACAGGCTTTCTCCTGAATTCTGAGAATATTGATATTGTAAGATAATTTCTGTCTAAAAGTATACCTCATTAATAATAAATAATTATCAATTATTAATTTATTATTAACAGTAATAAATTAATAATTGATGGGTGCCTAATTAAAATCCCCTCTAATAAGTTGCAAGGTCACGTTCTTGACTTTCACCTTCTCTGTTTGACTCCAAAAGCCCTCTAGAGCAATGGTTTTCAACCTGTGGGTCACAACCCCTTCTGCAAACCTCTGTCTCCAAGAAAGATTTACACTCTGACTCATAGCAGTAGCAAAACTACAGTTCTGATGAAGAATGGATGAAGAAAGTATGGAATATATACATATTAGAGTACTACTCAGCAGTAAAAAACAAGGATTTCTTGAAGTTTGCAGGCAAATGGATGGAAATAGAAAACACTATCCTGAGTGAGGTAAGCCAGACCCAAAAAGAGGAACATGGGATGTACTCACTCATATTTGGTTTCTAGCCATAAATAAAGGACATTGAGCCTATAATTCGGATCCTAGAGAAGCTAAATAAGAAGGAGAACCCAAAGAAAAACATATAGGCATCCTCCTGAATATTAACCTTCATCAGGCGATGAAAGGAGACAGAGACAGAGACCCACACTGGAGCACCGGACTGAAATCTCAAGGTCCAAATCAGGAGCAGAAGGAGAGAGAGCACGAGCAAGGAACTCAGGACCGCGAGGGGGGCACCCACACACTGAGACAATGGGGATGTACTATCGGGAACTCACCAAGGCCAGCTGGCCTGGGTCTGAAAAAGCCTAGGTTAAAACAGGTCTCGCTGAACATAGCGGACAATGAGGACTACTGAGACCCCAAGAACAATGGCAATGGGTTTTTGATCCTACTGCACGTATTGGTTTTGTGGGAGCCTAGGCAGTTTGGATGCTCACCTTACTAGACCTGGATGGAGGTGGGTGGTCCCTGATTGCTCTTTGGGCTGACGAGGGAGGGGGACTTGATTGGGAGAGGGGGAGGGAAAGGGGAGGCGGTGGTGGGGAAGAGACAGAAATCTTTAATTAATTAATAAAGAAATAAATAAATTTAAAAAAACTACAGTTCTGAAGTAGCAATAAAATAATTTGATGGCTGGGGCCACCATAACACGAGGAACTAAAGAGTCGCACCATTAGGAAGTTTGAGAGCCCCTGCTCCAGAGGTTGCAGATGTGACACAGGGTGTGTCCCTCGTTTGGGACTGTCTTAGAGATGTCACTTTGTCCCTCATCATCACTGGGGTGCTACAGAGGGCAAGGCCATCAGAAGAACCTGCGATATAAAAGCCCAGCCGTGAATGAGGGCCGCAGTTGCCGCAGCCTTATCTGCATGCAGGGCTTCCTTTCTTCCTGGCATCCATCTTGTGGACAGTGCAGCTCCTCCGCACAGACAAAGCAATGGCTGCCCAGGAATTCTAAATCCACACCTGGGAATTCAAACGATGTTTTGTTCAAGCCCAAAGCCTTGGCTCTTATATCTTCTTTCTCTCCTTTTTTAAATAAACACGTGTTTTAGAAGAACACGGCGGCCTTCTCTTTTCTTTGCACATCAGTTAAAAATAGAATTTTAAATCCATTTCACATTTTTTTAAATTACCCCAAGTCTAGGTTGAAAAACAAAACAAAACAGTATACTTTACTGCCTGCTCTCTCAGAGAAAAGAATACTAACAGTTTCTTAATTTAAAAAAAAAAAAAAGACAGAAAAAGCTCTGTGAGCAAGGATGTGGCTTAATGTAGTTGCCTAGCATGCTGGAAGTCCTAGGTTTGATTCCCCAGCACTTCAGAAAATTGGGTGTGATGGTACACACCTGTAATCTCAGCACTAGAAAAGTATAGACAGGAAAACCAGAAATTCAAGGATATCCTTAGCTACAGAAGCAAGTTCAAGCCTAGCCTGAGCTAATGAAAACAAAAACACAAACCCAAAGAATTTGCATGGGCAAAACTTGTTTGCATTTATCTAGGGACCAGCACAAACTTGGCATCACAGGAGACTGCGGTGAAGGAAGTTTGTGGGTGATGGGGTGAAAGATGGGGCATAACTATCAAGAGCAGTGCTGGGTGCCAAGACTGTGCCGAAGAAAGCACAGATCTAGGCGTTTTCACAGTGTCCGCAGAGCCCTGGAGCGCTATAGCGAGGGTGCGGGAGTGCCCTCGGAGGAGGTGGGCACCCAGCTCTGTCCTTGGCAGTCTTCGAGCTGACTCCACGGGTTTAAAGGTTAAAGATTTCCCAACCATTGCTAGTTTATCGACTTCTTTCTGTTTAGCTTCATGAGCACAAGGCTGGGTTAATCATAAGTCCTGGCACTTCATCAAAACCTACGAGGCTTGAGAAAGCAAGATGAAAGAACATCCCGGGTTCCTTCTATGTTAGGTGCATACCTGTGCTCAGGGTGGGTTTGCCCTGACGTGTGCTGTCACTCGAGAGATTAGGACACATAGAAGTACTGTAGGGCTCGGAATCTACTCTGAAGACTTAGTCCTGCCCCAAGATGTGAACTTCGTTCTCTGATGATCTGCTCTGATATCAAAATCACCTGTGTGTAACCACCGTTGCTGCTGTTTGATGCAGGCTTCTGGTGCTGTGACCTTTGTTGACTTTGAAAAAATCCTTCAGGCCGGGCGGTTGTGGCACACGTTAATCCCAGCACTCAGGAGGCAGAGGCAGGCGGATCTCTGTGAGTTCGAGACCAGCCTGGTCTATAAGAGCTAGTTCCAGGACAGGCTCCAAAACCACAGAGAAACCCTGTCTTGAAAAACCAAAAAAAAAAAAAAAAATCCTTCAGAAGTTCATTTGTTTTCACCACAGAGTGTTGCATGACACAGCTGACTTTTAGAATCTACATACTTTTAAGTATGTGATCTGTACCATCTGGTCTGCTAATGTGGATAAACAGTAATAAGAAAATATGTAAGATTATAGCCACAGAGTTTCCAGTTGTTAAATGGTTTACATTCTAGGGTAACTTTTGTGGATGGTTTATTAATTTTAATGCACTATTGCAAATGGTTAGTTCATTTACTTCAATTTTTTACATTTATTTATGTATTTATTTGTGTCATGTGTAGCGCAGTGGACAGCTCGCAGGCTTTCATTTCTCATTTTCCCACTTGGGGCACAGACCTGGACTACCCCATCTGCATCCCACAATCTCAAGCCATCCGGCCTGAAAGAGCCTTTACCCACCGAGCCATCTCACTGGCCCATCATCAGTTCATGCCCCATGTAGGATTTTTCTGCCTATGTTATTGGGAAAAGTGGAACTTTCACCTCCTTGCTTGTATGTAGTCTCATTTTGAAGTAGCAATTGTAACAGTTTTATGTAGGGCCTTGCACACTTTTATATGTTGGGTAATCATCTTCAGGAGGAGAATTGTTTTGTCTTCTGATATACACGGGGCCTGAAATGAGGAGGTGTGTGTGGTGGGAAGGATGGTATCAGGGAAAAGTTCAAGGTTACATTTCAATTTAACTGTGACTCTTATTCCTATAGTCTTTCTCCTCATTTTATACTTTCCCCAGAAATTAATGCAGTCTCCTAAGTGTTCCATGAAAGGAACACATCACTGTTTGTAACACTATTTTCCTATCTAGATGTGGTCCCCTCCTTTTTCTCTATTTCACTATCTGTTGGTGTGTTGGGGGTAGAGTGCACACACACGTAGGTGTGTGTGTGTGTGTGTGTGTGTGCAGAGGATGACCTTGGGCTCTTCCTTCTCAGGTGACATCCACCTACATCCCTCCTCATCCTGATACTCTGATTAGGCCAGGTTGGTGGGCTAGCAACCCCTACATGTCCTCCTGTCTCTAGCTCCCCAGTACTGGGATTACAAACACATGCCATCTCTCGCCGTCTCTTTACTGGGGTTGTGAGGATCGAACTTTGGTCCTCCTGCTTGCACAACCGGCACTTTGCAGGCCTACAAGGTCTGCGTTTTATTTATTTATATCTTCTTTCATCTTGCCAGATGTTTGTCCACACTTCATAACGCCGGCCTCCTCTGGGTTGCCCCCCTTTCACGGACTGTTCTCTACCTGCCCTCACTACTTCCTCGCCTGAATTTGCTTTGTTAATCTTTTCCCAGTGTCTTCGGTTGAGCGCTAATTTGTTTTCGATCATCTGTGTTTTCCTAATAAATACATTTAAAATGAATCATTTCTAAGTGCTATTGCAGGTCAGGCCCATTAATGAATTTGGCATGTGTGTGGGTGTTATATTGCTGCTCAGTTTGAGGTTTTGCAAATAATCTTCTCAATCACTTAAGGGTTTTAAAGAGTATATTATTTAAATTCCAGGTACTTGGGATACTCTCAGCCTTCCTCTTTATCTCTTATTGGCTTCTACCAATTCATGGCAAAGTGCAAATCTTTTTCCCTGAACCTATTCTAACACA